CACTGTAAAATAAACATGATTATTAAGTTTATCCTGAGTACGTGTCATTATATCTTGAGATCCAAACCTAAAAGTGAAAGTACTGCGCATTCCGTAATCCTTTTGATTATATCTATAGACGCTTGGCTGGAGATCCTCAATGGGCACAAAGACTGAGCTTCCATATTAACTAATTAATTACTGATAGGTTCCCCATTAAAGAGCAGAAGGAATACAGGGCCCCTTCAGGCCCTGCGCTCGGGGCGCTATGGCGCCACCTGGCGGCTCTTTGCTGTTAACAGATACGCAATGATGGGTACCTTCCTTGGACCTTGGGCGCGTATTGCCATCTTGCCCACTCCATCCCTGCATCCCTTGTCCAGCTCTGACATCTGCTCTGGGTCCTGCTTTGTCAGCCATCAGTCTTAGTGGTAGCTCATGACTCATCTTGGCGTCTTGGCTGCCTGGGACTGATCCTCCCTTCTCTGAACCACGGGACAGCCGCCCCCAGGGTCCGGAGGAAGCAAGCCCACCACGACCCTCCACCGCTCGGTGATGGCATGCGGCTCCTAGAGGATGGCTCCTTGCGTCTAAATGGCGCCGATGGGCAGCCACGACAGAGCCACCCTGGAGGGTCGGTGCTTTCTGGAGAAGGGAAAGTTTCCTCCAAGTCACACAGCTCCACGGCCCTTCAGCTCCGAGTCCTGGCTGCTCCGGCTCCACAGCGGCTAGCTGCCCTTTGTGTGGCAGTTGATGGTCAGAAAGAGCTTTATATTTGTTATTTCATTTGTGCCTCACAACCCCAGAGGCGGGTGTTGTTATTGCCTTCCCTATTGCACAGATGAGGAAACTGAGGCAGGTAGCAGTTCAGTGACTTGCCCAAGGTCACACAAGAGATGATACTTTATTCAGGTCTTCCTGACGCCGAGCCCCGAGCATTGTGGCGCCCCCTAGAGGCCTAGTCCAACTTTTTCATTTTGCGCTTTCTCACCTGTGAAAAATGAGTCCTCAAGAAATTACTTGTTAAAGGTCACAAAGGCAGTAAGAGGCGACTTGGGGTCTGGACTTGGGTGATGAGTACAAGTTTAGCCAAAAAAGTAGCGCTTCTGACTCGGGCCATGGGTTCAAATCTGCCTTTTGCTACTTCCTACCCAGGTGACCTTGGCCCCACTCAGCCCCAGGGCCTGGTAGGGCCAGCCAAGGCCCCCACCCCAGGCTACAGTTCAAGTGGGGATTCTGCTGGAGCTCACTTAGTTATTTACGCATATGTAAAGTGCCCCCCCAGAAGCCAAGGGAACCTTGTCCTTCTGTCTTCCCCTTCAGCTTCTCCCTAATTAAAAACAGCCCGGAAGCCCTGCGAGGGCCAGGTGCTGGCTGCCCTTACCAGCCAAGTTACACCAAAGCCAAGGAAACCATTGGTAGCTGACGGGGTCTCTCTTTCTCAGAGGCGGCCTTAATCGGATCCCTGAGGGGATGTGAATGCAGAGTTATCTGCCTGGAGCCCCATTGCTTCTTTAAGGACACAGTGGCTTCCAGATTTGGTTAGCCAGTGGCCCACCAGCCGTCTCAGAGCCCGGCATGGGCGCGGCCTTGGCCTTCTCAACGGAAGCCTCATGGAGTGCTTTTATCCAGCTGTGACAGTCCAGTCTCTAATCTCCGGCTTGGTGACGTTAGTAAAGCTGGGCGGTCATGCCACTATTGAAAACGGCAAGGCCGATTTATCCCAGTTTTGGATCTGATCAGGAGACTGAAACCCCTGCCCACAACAGCTAAGGACAGGCCCTGTCTCCTGCAAGCCCTCTGAAGTTCAAAAGTGCCCCATTAACATTTTATTGCTAAACCTACGTGTGATTTGTCAGTCAGGGGATCACCACTGATTAAGCATCTCCATTGTGCCAGGTACCTAAAAAACCTCGGGGGAGAGGACACTGGAGGTGCTGAGGACCCTCCACTGATGCGTGGGGCCGTTGAATCACTGGGTTTTTTGTTGGGTATTGGCTTGGAGCCCCAGAAATCCACCCAAAGACAGGAGTTCAATTTCCCCGACACAGGAGAGGCAGTCCTTTCCCCCACCAACACACCTTTTTTTTTCCCCCCATTTGAGTCTCTTTGCTATACAAAGTCATTGCTTCTTGTCTTAGAGTCAACTGCAGCTGCTCTTTGGCCTTTGATCCCCAGGAAGGGATGACATTTGGGGGAAGAAACGATGAAGAGGAGGGTAATTTCAAGCTTTCAAAGCTTAAGACAGCACTAATACTTTTGGGACAAGCTGTGGTACAGTGGCCTAGACTGGGATCAGAAGGCTAATCCCTAACTCTGGAAGGTGAATTTCACATCCAATGGAAGGCCAGAGGGCAAGGTTATCCCAAGGGAAGAGCCATCAAGGAGAGGACCAGAGGGCACAAGGTAACCATTGTGAAGCCAGCAATGGAACGTGACAAATGGAGGCCTGCTTCCCCACCCCCACAGTCTGAGCCTCTTTCCAGGGCTGGAGAGAAAGAGGAGGAAGTGATTAGTGAGCAAGGAGAGAGATGATGGCCTGGTGGGGGGGGGGGAGAAAACACCACCAAATGTGCTCAGAGGAACTGAGCCCAGATCTAAGCTCCGCCTCACTTTTGACAAATCCCATCAGCTCCCTAGGCTTGAATTTCCTGACTTAGGAAATAAGGAGACTGGCCAAGCCTTCCCCAAGATCCCTTCCTGTTCTAAACTGATGTGATCTTAGGAACCAGGATTCCATGAACCAGCAGAATCCAGAAACAGCTGCCTTATCTCCTCATTCTCCATACATGCTCCTCTATCAGTCAACAAGGAAGGAGTCCCCCCCCCTCCCCCAGACATGAATCAGCTGTCAGGAACATTCCATAGCTAAGAACAGAACCCACATTGTAAAAGAGGTTTCTCTTTCTTAAGCCAACATCATATGGCAGGCACATAATGCAGGAAGCCCAAGATGGTTCTGTGAGTTGAATATAAAAGGAGGAACCATAAAATAAATTAAAGGAAAACAAGATCAGATATCTTTCACAGCTATGGCTAGGGGGAGAATTCTCAATTAAGGAGGGATAGAGAAGCTCATAAAAGATAAAAAAGACAATTTTGAGCACATTAAATTTTAAGAGCTTTTCCAGTAATAAAATCAATGAAGATAGAATTAGAAGAGAAACTATAGAATAGAAAAATATCTGTATCAAATATCATCAATTAAGTCTCTGTGATATCCAAAAAGCATAGGAAATCAACAGAAATATATAAACCAGAGAGGAGTCATTCCCCAATAAAGAAATGGTCAAAGCCTATGAATAAACAGCTTTCAAAAGAAGATTCACAAAATATAAATGCCAACATAGAAATATGCTCAAAATCTCTGATTTTAAGAGAAGTACAAATTAAAACAATTCTAAGATGTATTTATATCACACCATGAAAGCAGGCAAAGCTAGCAAAATATGGGAACAGTCTGACACACTGATGCCCTGTGGGTGGAGTTATCAAGTACTCCAGTAACTCAGGATTGCATGTTGGAATCATCCAAGAAAGTGACTAAATTTCCCATAACTTCTGACACACTGGTTCTGCCCCTGGGCATATACTTTAAGGAAATGAAAGCTAGAAACCAAGGCAAATTTAAACTAAAGCATTCATAGGAACCCCTCTTGGGGTTGGCAAAGAGCTGAGAAAAAGTAACTCTGACCATGCATTAAAGAGTCACTGAAAAAAAGCTATGTTTTTAAAAATGTAATTGGTTATGCTGTAAAAAAGGACGAATGAGGAAAGTCAGAGAAATATGGGAAGATTTGCAGGAATTGGGACAGAGCGAAATTAGCACAGCCAGAACAATATAAAGACCCCAGCAGGAGTTCTCAAAGTGTATACTGAAGCACACTCTGATGCCTTGAATTTCACCAGATGTTCTATGAAGTTTGGGATATTGTGTTATTGCAGCTAAATGTATAAGTTATGTAGTCTAATAACAGTGTTATTCAAGTCATGTAGTATGGTGAATATTCACATCATAAACAAAACTTGCCTATTATATACACACACTCACCTCAAATACCTCAGACCCTGAATTCTCAAAGAACTCTACAAAAATAGTTGCTGTTATTGAAGGGAAACTCTGGATGTATGACTATTTCAACTCTCCCACAGTGTTGGGAAATTAAGTATTGAATGTGTCATTATTCTTCATGGAAAATCATATTGTACATTAATGTGCCTGTTTTCCCATAGTTCCTCCAACATTTGTTAGTTTTCTTTCTTTGTCAACTTTGACAATTTGATGGGTATAATGATGACTCTCATGTTTGCTTTAATGAGAATTTCTGTAATTATTAGTGATTTGAAGCATTTTATATGACTATTAATGACTTGGTCTTCTTTCTTTGAAAGCTGTCTGCTCATATCCTTTGACCATTAACTAATTGGGGAATGAATTTCATTTGTATAAACTTTAATCAGTTTTTTCTATAACTTAGAAATTTAACCTTTATCAGAGAAACTCGCTGTCAATTTTTTTTCCAAGTTAACCATTTCTCTTTTAATTTTAGTTGCATTGATTTTGTTTAGGCAAAATCTTTTTTTTTTAACTTTATGTTATCAAAACTCCACTTTACCTGCTTTGAACCTGTCCCTTGTTTGGTCATGAATTCTTCCTTTATCCATAGATCTGACAGGAGATTTCTTCTTTGCTCCTTTTATTTGTTTATGGAACTCTGGTAAAACTATGAATTCTGGAAAGCAATTTAGAACTATAGCCAAAAATTCAACAAATTGTGCATACCCTTTGATCCAGAGATACCACTACCAGGTCTATACCCCAAAGAGTCAAAGAAAGAGGGAAAGGACCCATATGTACAAAAATATACCAGTTCTTTATAACAGCTTTTTTTTTGAAGTACAAAATAACCTGGAAACTAAGGGAGTGTTCATCTATTGGTCAATGACTTTAATAAATTATTATATATGAACATAATGGAATTGTACTGTATCAAAAGAAATGATGAAGGAGACAGTTTTGGAGAAACCTGGAAAGACTTGAATGAACTAATGCAGAACAAAGTGAGCAACTGCAGTAGAACCATTTGTACAATTACAACCACACTGTAAATATAAACAGCTCGGAAAGACTTAACCAACCATTCCCAATGAATGATAAGCCGTGCTGCCACCTCTTGCTGGGGAGGAGATGGACACAAGATGAAGGAAGAGACACCCATTTTTGGACATGGCCAATTCAGGAATTTCTTCTGCTTGTCTGTCTGTATTAGCTACATGGGTTTTGTTTCTCCTTTTTTCTAGCCAGTGAGGCGGGGGTGGGAGGGAGATAAAATAAGAAAAAGGTACAATAATACCTATAGGAAAAGAAAATGTGATGCCCTGAACAACAGAAGTTGAGAATCCACGGGCCACAACTTTATAAAAGAAAAGGGCCCCTAAGAGCCAGCCTCCAAGTGGCCAGAAACCCAGAGATGACCCTAGAGAATAGACATTGAAATGCAACTTCCCTTTACAACAGGAAGTCCAGGAGGCAACCTGGACAGGGTAGTGTTCACTTATTTATTCATGCAATTAGCACAAATTCACTCCCCCTTCCCACTGAAAAAGGATGAAAAACAAAACCTTTGGAAGGACCGTGCAAAACCACGCAAACAAATGGTTGCTTGGCCAGGCCCCAAAGCCTTGTCTGGGTCTGCTCTCTGGTCTGGAGGGGCCCGGGTTTCATTGTAAGTCCTAGGGACCTGTGGTTGGTCATCATCCTGAGCAGAGCACTCCAGCTTTATACACTGATGTTACTGCAGAAACTGTTCTCCTGGTTCCATTTCATCCAAATCTTCCCAGGCTTCTCTGAAACCACAGGGCAAAGCACCACGTGCGTGATCGTTCATAGTCATCTGGAAGTGTTTAATCAATGCTTGGTGATTGACTCACTGACCTGAGCAGCAGAGGAGGGTAAAGCTAGGAGTGATCCAGGCTTGGGATCTGGTGAGAGAAAGGACAAGGGGATGAGTGATTTGAGACTGAAGGACAAGAAGGATATCCTCTTTGGAAGTGAAGGATGAACACCACCAGCATCAGCATTACACCACCCCCACGGATGAGGAGCGATGCTCAAAAGCAGAGGGCGAGAAGCAAACACCCACCTCCGGCTGCCTTCTCACAGCATAGGAGGCGAGGCACAGACAGAACCAGCCCCCATCCTGGAGTCTCCCAGGGATGCCAAACAAGCTGCCTGCCTCTCTTAAGCCCATCAGCTTACTTCTCTCTGAATCCTTCTCCACAAACCACCAAATCTACCACAAGGTGCCTCAAGTGGCAGCTGTCCTGTCCCAGGCAGACCAGTCATGGTGGTACTAGAGCCCAAGGCCTTCTCCCTGCCTCGTTTTCCCCAGCTCTGGTGTTGAAACAGAAAAATAATCTGGGTGTCATCTGGAATGCCAGCCAACCAAGCATCTACCCTGTAGTGCCCAGCACGTAGTAGGACTGATTTTACAGATGAGAAAACTGAGGCTCGGTGGGCTACCTGAGGGACTTACCTGGGGTCACACAGGCACTATACACAAGAGGCTGGACCTGAACCCAGGTCCTCCCCCTCAGAACCACGTTGCACACACAGTACTCAGCAGAGCCCCCCCAAGAAGAGCAGAGCCCATTCTAAGTCTGCCCTCAAAGAGAAGCATGGAGAAACAAAAGAGGGTTAAGCAGAATATGGCAGAGACGATTGATGAGCCTAGAGTTTTTCAGACTCAAAGCAGAATAGTGAGGACAATTTAACAATGGTCTGGGAAAGGAGAAATCTCAGAGGAAGTAATGGGCAGATCTTCTCTGCTCCTCAGAGCCCAACAGAATCATCAGATGTAGAGCTGGAAGGGGCCTCAGAGGCCCCCATTTTACAGATGAGGAAACTGAGGCCCAGAGAGTTGCAGCAACTTGCCCAAGGTCACACAGGTCGTCATCATCTGCATCAGGATTTGAACCCAGGTCCCCCAACTCCAGAGCAAATTGGAGGCCGCAGGATGAAGACGAAGGTAGGTCGATGCAAGAAAGAGTTTCAAAGGAACTTGGGCAATAGCATTCTCTGGGGGGTTCCAGGTTCAAAATGCCAGAGAGGGCGTCTCCTCTCATCCATGGACAAGTCCAAGAGCAGAGGGCTTCTTGAGAGATCGTGGGTCATTCACCCTCTCTCCTCCCCACCCCCAGCTTCCTTCTTCCCCTTGCCTAAACAAAGGCCCCTTACATTATTTTAAAAGGGGGGGCCACTTGGCCCTTTGGTAAGGCAGGATAACTCTAATCCACTTTCCAGTGATACCCTTTCAAATAGCTGAAGACTATAAGAAGTTTTGCCCCAAGGCCCCTGTCTGCCGGGCTAAATCTCGGGATTCCTTTTTCTGGTCCTCCTGTGGCATGGCCTAGATACTTTCATTATCCTGGTTTCTTTCTTCTGGTCAGACTCTAACTTCTCAGTGTCTGTTCCAAAAACGCACTTCCGGCCCTGGAGACAAGAAGCCATTTGCTTTATGACCAGAGCAGCCGTGGTGTGGGGAGATCACTTCCTTTCTTCTGGGCCCTAGGCCCTTGTTAACACAACTCCAGATTCTGTCAGCATCAAGGGCTGCATCACCTTTCCCTTCCTTCATATTAGATGGCTGCCGGCTAAGATCCCCAGATCCAAAAGGATTTTTTTTTAAATAAAAGTCCACTCTGAAAGGCCTTTCAAAGAAATAAAGGGAGGAGAAAACAAACTTCTGAAGATAATAATGAGAACTTCCCAATACCATTCTCTATAATCAAACTGCCAGTGTTTTTATAGCACCTGAAAGCCATGATACCTTTGGGTCCCAATTCAAACTACGTAAGTGAGAACCCCAGTGGATATTTATCACTTAAATCATTCCATTCCCAGAGAATGAAAACCAACTTCTCCAGCCGTCGTGCCCCAGGAGGTCAGGAGACGACAAGAAAAGCTAGCCGAAGGCATGAGGGACTGAGGGATGCCAGGCAGAGGAGAAGCATGAGAAGCGCACGGGACGAAGGCCGGAGACTGGAAGGGAACCAGTGGCTCCAGACGGCCAAGACACACAGCGGCAGGGCCCCTCCGATACCCAGTTCATGGTTAGTAGCAACAATGACAATGACTAAAATAATTAAAAGGAGCACATTCACTGTCTTTTCTTCCCTTCCAAAAGCCTTGAAAGGAGACTCCAAATTCCCATTCTGTCTCAGTCTATAGAAGGCAACCTCCTTGGGGGCAGGCAGCATTGGGCCATTCTGTGGGTATGTCTTTGTATCTGGTGCCTGCCAGGGTACACAGCACCCGGTAGGTGCTACATGCTCCTAGAACGCATGGATGAATCCCACAGAACCTAGACCAGAGAGGCCAGCTAGCCTTAACTCCCATTTTACAGATGAGAAAACAGAGACCCAGAAAAGAATGAGCGACCCAGGTGTGAAGCAGCAGAGTCAGGACCTAACATCATTTCTGATATATAGATATCTAGCTGTATGCATATGCATATATAGATGTGAATATCGTTAGTGAGGACTTGAGGGCTGCCAGCCCTTCTCAGGCTGCTCGTCCATTCTGATGCCCACTTCTACCCAACTCTCACCTGGGACTCCAAGAAGCTGGCGCGTGTGCAGTTTCCACACCCCAGTGAACCACCTTGGCAGACAGGCTAAACTGGGTTCAAGGTAACCACAGGACTCAAGGCCGTCGGTAGGCTGAGGGGTATTTACTCCACGTGTGTGAAGACTTCCCCTTAGAACGGACAGATGAGACCAATTTGTTCCCACAGCCATGATTGAAGCGGTTGAAGCAGGAGCTGTAGAGTGAGCAGAGCAAGCACAAACCAAGGTCAGACCCTGAAGATGCCAAGGTCATCTGCTGAATCTATGGTTCTCTTGACTTTCGTCTTGATGCTGAACTTTGATGATTCTGGAAGAAAGAGTGAAGAAGAGGACTTTGTGCAAAGCTACCTCATTTAATTCCACTTCACTCACAAGTCAAAACATCATCGCTCCTCTTCAAAAGTGAAGGAAAAGCGACAAGATTTCAAGATTGAAGTTTGGGGGGCTTAAAAACTAGATGCCAGTGAAGCCCTGCCATCCCCAGTCATGCCCCATGGCATTCACCCCTTCTTTCTCCCACTACTTCCGCCCAGCCACAAAGCGGAGCTCTCTGAGCTAAGAGAAAAGGGGCAAAAGATGGGGTTGTGTCCTCTACCCTGATTTATCCTGCAGAGCTGATGGGGAGCCGATCGTGAAGATCTGGAGAAGTTTGCTGCTCTCAGAAAGAAAGCTCAGGCCAATGGGCACTGACATGGTTTCTCAAGAACTATGCGTAGGTGGCCCTTATGGAAGGCTTGGTGCAGGCCATCTGTCAGAAAATTGTAAATGAATTCTTGGCAGTGTCTATGCAAAGTGAAGGTATGGTTGAGCAATTATTCACTGAATTTAGTCCTTGCAGATGCCAACTTCAGATCATTCTGCCTCCATCCTTGTCCTACTTTCCTTCTTCCTAAACGTTCCAAGTGTATGCCTCCATCCCGCATCTCCCAGAGCCTACCCAAGGAAACCCTGCCCCACCAGAACTCACAGACGTTTACAACAAAGGTAGCTTCTTTATGGCTTGGAGTTTTACAATAAACGTTCCAAAAGCCACAGTGATCAGAAAATTAAGAAGTTGTAGAGACTTTGGAGATTGCTTATGTACCCTTATCATATCATTTTACCGATGGGAAAACTGAGTGTCAGTGATGTGACAAAGGTCAAACAAGTAAAGAGCTAAGTAGGTTTGGAATTCAAAAAACAGATTTCTTTTTTTTTTTTTCTAAATTTTCTCATTAGTCATGTTGTAAGGAAGAATTAGAACCAATAGGAGGAACTACCAGAAAGAAGAAACAAAACACAACAGAAGAAAAAAAATAGCAAACAGTATGCTTCCATCTGCATTCAAACTCCATAGTCCTTTCCTCTTTGTGGATAGCATTTTCCATCATGAGGCCTTTGGAGATGTCTTAGATTCTTGCATTGCTGAGAAGGGTTAAGTTTATCAATATTAGTCATCACACAACGTGGCTGTTACTGTGTACAATGTTTTCTGGTTCTGCTCACTTCACTCAGCAACAGACCATACAAGTCTGTCCAGGTTTTTCCACTTGCTCATCGTTTCTTTTAGCACAATAGTATTCCATTACATTCATATACCACAACTTGCTCAGCCATTCCCCAGTTGATGGGCATCCTCTCAATTTCCAATTCTTTGCCACCACAAAAAGAGCTGCTATGTATATTTTTGTACATGTGGGTCCTTTTCCCATTTGTTTGATCTTTTTGAGATATAGCCCTAGAAGTGCTATTGCTGGGTCAAAGAGTATGCACATTTTTATAACCCTTTGGGCATAGTTCCAAATCGCTCTCCATAATGGTCAGATCAGTCCACAACTCCACCAACAATGCATCAGTGTTCCAATTTTCCTACATCTTTTCCTGTTTTGTCATGTTGGCCAATCTGGTAGGTGTGATGTGGTACCTCAGAGTTGTTTTGATTTGTGTTTCTCTAATCAATAGCGATTTAGAGCATTTTTTTCATATGATGATAGCTTTAATTTCTTCATCTGAGAACTGCCTGTTCACATCCTTTAAGGCAGATTTCTTTTAAGAGTACCTCCTGCTTGGTATGAGACAGTGAAAGCCAAGAGATGCTGTGAGTGACAAGAGCACAGCTGCTTCATGAAGACGTCTCTGCCTTGCCCTTCAGGCCAGCTCCATGACCAGCCAAGAAGCAGTCCCCCAACTAAAGCCAATCCCGGGGCATTTAACAACTGGCTGGGGTGGAGGTGGGAGGTGAAGCGTCCTCCCAGCACACTTTGAAGTTTCATCCCAAGTATTCATACTTTCTCCATCTCTTTCTTAAATCTAGAAAATGAACAAAATAATCAAGCCATAACTCGTGGCCAGCAAAGGTGATTTCCTGCAGTGTGAGGACTCCAGCTGAAAACTGAACAAGCCCCACAGCAATGCCACCCCTGTGCAATGCCTTTCAGACCCTCCTCCTGACCTCAGGGCTGGGGTGGGTGGGTTGGGGTCTGTGTGGACACAGAACATCTCCACATGTCTCTCAGGGAGGGAAACCATCCCTGAGTCTCCTTCCTCCACTCCTGCCCAAGGGAGATTTTGATTCCTGCTGGGAAGGGAAATGGGAGGTTGGGGCCAGAAGCTAGCCCCTCTTCTGTCCTCAGAGACAGGAGGGTGCTGGGCCAGAATCATATCTATTTCCTCCCTTAAATACTGTTAATCCAACAGAAGTAACTTCCAGGTCCAAATGATGCTCCCCATCTCTATTCCTTAACAGTAAAGGAGCACTCCAAGCCATATATCCAAGGATCGACTACCTTTCAGCCAGATTCCATTTCCACAATGAACATGCATAGCAAGTAAACCCATGTATCTAAGTCAGTATCAAAATGAAAATCAGAGACAGTCGACATTGGAGAACATTGACCAGACAATACAGAGTGAATGAGCCCTTCTGTTGGCAGCGATAAAACTGAGCTCCTCTGAGATGGGGTCTCAGCTCTCCCCCCAGGGTCAGTGTAGCAAGCTGGGCACCTGGTGGAGACCACCAGCTTCACTTCACTTTGGCCTCTCCCCAACGTCTTTCTCTCCTTGGGAACCCGAAAGAAGCCTGGAACAAAACTGGAACAGTCTCCTCTCTCAGAGCTGGAAGCCAGAAGAGAGCAGATCTCTCTTTTCTCCAGCTCTTACCAACCCCCTTATTCAGGCAGTGTAAACTTAAGAGAAAAAGGGGGAAGGCCCATGGAAAGGGAACAGAGCCAAGGAGTGAGCAGAGATGGAGAGACAGCTCTGGGCTATTGTCAGAGCATAGAGGCAGAGGATGAAGTCTAGAACAACATTTCTGTGGCTTCCCTAAACCCAGGAACATCAGGAATGGTCTGATGCCCCTGGATCTCACTGACCCAGAACCTCAGCAGCCTTTGAGGCTGACCCCTAATTTTACACTGAGGAAGAGACTTGGGTCCAGAATGTTTAAGTGCCCAAAGCCATACAGACACAGAGCACAGGAAGAGAGACCCAGCACAAAAAGGGACCTCACAGATCATGCAGTCCAAGCTCTTCATTTTACAGATGAGGAAACTGAGGCAGACAGAGGTAAAATGACTTACCCAAGGACATGCAGCTAGGAAGTGGCTAAGGTAGAATTCGAACTCACTATTACCCCAATTCCAAGTCTAGTGGTCTGTCTGCCATGTTACCTTACTCTATGTGTGCATTAATTCACAAACATCTTCCCCAAATGTTTCTTTGTGGAACAAAAGTGACCTTGAATCTTTGGAAGGATCCAGTGGATGACCTTTTGTCAGAACTCTCCACTCTGACCTGTCCATCTTGGGTAATGACCCTTCAGGATACAGCTCACAACAAGGCAGCCATCCAGAAGGGGAGTTTGAGCTAAAAGAGACCTGTTAGGCCACTTGGTCCCATCCCTGAGGTCTCAGGAAGTTAAGTGACTGGTCCAAGGTCACACAAGAAAGAAGCTGCCCAGCTGGGATTTGAACTATCACCCTCTGTCCAGGTCTCATGGCTCCCAAACCAGCAAAAGCACCCAAGGAGCAAATCATGAAAAAGGAAAATGAAATCTGAAGCCAAAAAAGATTACTTTCTATAGTTCCCAATATCTGTTCTCTCACCCTGAGATATTTTGCACAAAACGTATTTCACATAATCCATCTAATTAACAGAAACAAATGTTAAGCTGGTGACCCAAAATTGCAGAAAAGACCGACCTAGTACATCTCTTCTGATCTCCCTCTGACTGCTCTGGACAAGTCCTCAGAGAGAGCCAATAGTTAGGTTATCATGCAGCTAATACAATTAAGAACACATCATTGTTTTCATTAGTGGAAGCAATTTTAAAGGGGATTATGGTTTAGTCATTTCACAAATCACATCAGGCCAAAATAAACAAAATTATGTGGAGCAACAAGAAAATGTAGTTGTTTGAATCTGTTTACGTTGTTTTTTTAAATATCTAGGAGGTGGCTGCCCTGCTGTGCCCACGCCCTGGTCAGATTCCATCTGAACCATTGTGTTTAGCTGTGGGGGGACATTGTAGGAAGCACCTTGATGGTCTGCACAGAATCCAGAAGGGAGTAACTGAGGTTGGTGACGGGCAGTGAATCTGTGCTGTCTGAGGATGGGGTGAAGAAATTGGGTAGGCTTAGCTGGAATGAGAGGAAATTTGGGGGGCAGGAGGAAGGCTGCACTATGTATCTTGTTATATACTTACTGATTCCCATGTTGCATCCCATTAGAATGTAACCTCCTTGAGAGTAGAAATGGTTTTGGTTTTTCTCTGTGTCCCTAGAACTTATGTCGGTGTCTGACACAAAGTAAGCACTTAATAAATGCTTTTTGACTTGACCTAGTGACTGTCTTCAATCAGAGACTGGTCTTGTTTATCTGGACCCCACATAGTAGAACAGAGAGGCAAAGTTGGCCTTGAAGTAAGTTCCATAATCAGGGCTGTACCTGGTCATGGACTGCCTTGGAAGATGGGAGGCTTCTTCCCTTTACTGGGGCTCTTCCAAGGAAGGAAGGATAGCCACTTGATTGGACACTATAGAGGAGATTCATGTTGGGTACCAATTGAACCAAATGTTGGCTGAGGCCCTTTCCAGCTCTCAAATGCTCTGATTCTGATGCTCATTAAAGTTCTCCTCCAGTGCCTCTTTGTGACTCTGGGGTTCCAAGCTCTGGGAGGTTGGTTCTACCATGTTGAAAAGGCTTTGTGTGAGTCACTGCTAGAATCTACATCCCTTGTCCCTAGACCAATTCCGCTCAGTTCAGAGAGCTGAGAACAACAATGACGTTGGCTGCAGGAGGTTGAAAATCTTCCATGACAGTTCTTGAGAATTCTCCAAGTCCTAGAGAAGGGAAGGGCTCCAATCTCTCTGAGGAGGCAGCATCCACCCCCACACTGATTCTGAAAGGACTCTAGTGTGAGGGGAAACATCCGACATCCAGTGGAAGATGAGCTCCGCTGACCCAGGTATCACTTTTGCTTTTCAAACATAGCAAACGAGCATTTCCCAGCTTGTAATTAATTTCCAGGGCTCCCATCACCATTGATTTTTAATCAAAGCTAAGTGTGTGTGTGGGGGGGGGGGGCTGGTAGTTTTTCAATGAGCTCAGTGAAGGTTTTCTTCATCTTCATTTTTAAGACTGTTATTTTTATTTGCTCTTCCTAGCAAAGATGCTGGCTTTGACAGGGTGGGCCAGATGCAGCCTGTGATCCTTACTAATTAACTGCAGGTGATGGGGGCCCAGTTGTATATTTCTATCATTTTTAAATCCCAGTTTCACAGATAATTAGTCATTGATATAAGTGAGGGATTTGGGGCTTCACACACCTTTGAGGTGTTAGGCTCAGGAGGTGTGTGCTGTTGAAGAGCAATCCTCCCTGATGCACAAGGTGAATTCTTTACAATCAATTCTGCATCCTTATACTTATCAGTCTAGGTTTACAGAAGTCCCCAGGGAACACAGTTATTCTGCAGCAGGGGAGAAAGCAAGGTACAAGTTCACAGGACTTTGCCAACATAAAAACCACCAGATGAAAACGTGATTTCAACCCTGGTATATAGAAGCCCCAGGCAATCGATGCTTTAGTTCAACATCCCACACAGTAAGAGAGAAGCCAGCAATGCTGGGCCATTTCCACTTGGGAAAGGATGCTCCATGGAAAAGACTTCTGTAACCAAAGCAGAAACAAGCCCACCCGTGGAGCAGAGGTGCTGTTGTGTGGTGGTGGTGGTGTGGTGATTGTTACTCAGGCTGCCTTGACCACAAGGCTTGGTAGCTCTAAGCTAGAGGTAGGGTTGGTTCAGAGAAAAGAGGTCAACATCTGTTACTGATGGACCTGGGTTCAAATTCAAGCTTTCCTAGTTACTGTGTGACCTTGCACAAGTCACTTGCCCCTTGGGTCCTCAGTTTCCTTGTGTGTGAGACTAGGTTATCTCTCAGGTCCTAGGATGAGACCATAAACCTCAGAATATGAAGTATTTCTCTGTTTTTTGCTAACTGCTTGAGCTCCAATATTAAAATGCATGTTCCTTGTCTGCTCTACTGGTTTGGCGTGATTACATGATCTCAGAGGTTCCCAACAAAGCCGATGAGGGCTCAAGCCCAGGAATTACACTGATCAACCAATATACTCCATATGGAAGACAATAGTTCATGGGAACGCAGTTTTGTCAGACATGGGCTGCGTCTCAAGTGCTAAACACCCATTCAGTATCCATTCTAAGTACAGTCTAATTCTCAGCCGTCTTGGCCTGGACCAGCCTCTCTGGGTTCCATTTTCCTCTTCTCTAAATTGAAGGGATTACAATAGCTGATGTAACAGGTCCCTCACAATTCTAAAACCAGGATCATATGAAGAGACACTTCCACAAACTTTTTGCAGACATTTCTCACTTCATAATGAAGCTTTACACTCCCAAGCCCCTAAAGGTCAGAAAAACATTCTTCACTATATGGCTCATGTAGTTATATAATAACAGAATTTTAAAGTTGGAAAGGACCTCGGGGCCTTGGCTTCACTTCAATTCTCCAAACGCTCATTAAGCCCTTTTGGTAGTCTAGGCCCAGTGGCAGAGTCGAGGACACAAGAGGGAAAGAAATCCATCCCTGCCTTCAAGGGGCGTCTCTGGGCAGGGCGGTGGTCATAAACTGTGTAAATAGATAGGCGTATGGAAAGTAACGGAAGATAATTTCAAGACAGAGAATGCACTTAGACTAGGGGGAGAGGGGAGCATGAGGTCTTGTATCTAAGGGCAGCTGAGCCATGACTGGAAAAAAGTCAGGAATTGTCAGAGGTCGAAATGAGGTCAGTGTCAAGGAGTCACCTCAACCAGCATTTGCCAAGCACCTACTACATGGTAGGTACAGCACTAAAGCCACAAAGACGGGACACGGTCCATGTTCTGAAGCAGCTGAGAGTCTAATGGGGGAGAAAAGTATTAATAAACCAGCTAAGGACAGGGTAAATGGAGACGAATGGAGATGAGGGCCAAACATTCAGGGGAACAGTGTAGAAGGTGGGACAAAGGATGCCAGGAGATGGGAGGACGACTCTTCCTGGCTTGGGGGACCTCAGAATGAATCCCCTTGACCACATCCAAGCAAACGGCTGCCAGACTTTGCCTGATGACATCTGAGGAGGGGGACTCCCTTATTCCAGAAGCAGCCTGATCCAATTTTAAATAGCACTAGTCGTTAGGAAGTTCCTCCCTAGCATTGTGTCTCGAAGGACTTGGAAATTTGAAAATGAAACAAAACAAAAAAACCTGACTTTGCAGCTCTGCAGTGTCTCTAGCCAAGTGAGGGAGCATGGGCAGAACCCCTTAACCTCTCAGGGCCTGCCTTTCCCCATCTGTAAATAGCAGGGTTGGACTAAATGTTCATGGAGCTCCCTTTCAGCTCTGAATCTAAGATCCTTTGACTCACTAGACAGGGGCAATATTTCAGGGAGCTTCTCAAACAGCTCTAGTAAAACAACGGGAGCCCAGTCTCCAATACAGGAATATTTTGAGCACTGCCGAGATACCCAAGGGGAGCTAGAGGCTTCTAAATAGACTGCAGGTTCTGACACAATTACCATACCTCGCAGGGAAGCTTGCTGAATTCTGAGTTCATTAAGACAAAGCAGACATGATTCCCCACCGCTCTCCATCAGACCTTTACAATCCGCAAACCCACGCAGGGGCAGCAGGTGAGCCCTATATACAGGGGCTGAGAGTCGGGCAGCCGTGGGCTGGGCTGAGGTAACCTCCCAGATGCCCCGGGAGGGGAACTGCCCCTTCCCCTTCCCCTTCCCCTTCCCCTTCCCTTCCTTCCTTCCCCTTCCCTTCCTTCCCTTCCCCTTCCCCTTCCCCTTCCCCTTCCCCTTCCCCTTCCCCTTCCCCTTCCCCTTCCCCTTCCCCTTCCCCTTCCCCTTCCCCTTCCCCTTCCCCTTCCCCAGCCCAACCTGCTCTGGCAGGAGAAAGCTTGAAGAGCTTTGCCCAGGCTCTGGCGTTCTTTCGAGACGGGAGCGCAGCAAGATAGTAGAGAACTGAATTGAGGGTTCGAAGTCCCAGCCACACTGACCTACTCGCTGTTCGTCGAACGCAGAACTCCACTCCGCAGCTCCACACCTTTGGCTGTTCCAGAAGCCTCGAGCGCTTCCTGTCCCTGTCACTGAGTCCCGACTTCCTTCGAGACAGCTTAGATCCCTCGGCGGCCGGGACTCACCTGAGACCACTCTCCCCCTCCTCGGTGTGTATCTTGGCTGTGCAGTCAGCTACACTTGGTCTCTCCCATGAGAATGTGAGCTCTCCGAGGGCAGAGACGGACTTTTGCTCAACACAACGCCTGGGAAATAGTAAGCGCTCCCTAAATGCCTGCCAGCAGACTCAATGACTGACTTACTCTGCACACGCGGGGTTCAAGCGGTCTTTTGTCTTCGGGGCCCATCTCTGTGGGTGTGGGGCTGGTGTGAGCTGCGAGGGCGTGGGGTGTGTCTATGGGAGCTGTCACTTGGCGCCGTCTGTGCCAGGGTCCCCATAACACCACCACATGTCACAGCTGTGTGCGCAGGACGGCTGTCTCCCTTCGTAGGAAGATTTCCTTTTCCCGGAGGCTCGGAGCCTCAGGAAGGGGCTTGGCTGTAGGTCTCCAACTAACGAACGTTGGCATCTGTGCCCCAGGGCCCTGGGAGATCCAGAAAGGAAGACCGGAGCCCTGCCTTCCTGGGGCTTACCGACCAGCAGAGGAAAGGAAGAACAGAACGACTCTCACTTCTGGAGGACTTCAAGGCTTACCAGGGGCTTTTCTCTTAACGGGCTATCGGTTGTGTAAGATTATTACCCCCATTTAACAGATGAGGACGCTGAGGCTAAGGGCTTCTTCCTCTGTCTCCCAGTCGGCTCAATGACAGCCGAACCTCAGACTCTGGTCTTCAGACTTCCTGTCCAGGGCTCTGTCCACTAGAGCAAGCCACTGAGGACACACGTACAACCCAGTGGGATTCGAGCTGCGAGCTAAGCACAAGCTTTCTCTGGAGAGCGTGAGCAGAGGGCTGGCAGGCATCCGGGGAGCAATGGGGCAAGGCTTCATTCCAGAGAGAACATTTCCACTGGGCCTTGAAGGATGAATAGAATATCAATAAGCAGAGCAGGGGAGTAGGACATCCCAGGAAGTCAGAGGCAGGAGCAACGATGATTCAGACAAAAGATAATTAGGAACAGGAAGGGAGGGAGCAAACGGTCATTTGCTAAGCACCTACTGTGTGCCAGGCACTGTGCTAATCGCTTTACAGATATTATCCCCACTGATCCTCACAATTACCTGGGAGGTAGTTAAAGAAGCTGAGGCAGAATGCAGTGAAATGACTTACCCAGGGTCACCAAACTAGTTAGCGTTTGAAGCTAGATTTGACCTCAGGTCTTTCTGACTCCAAGACAAGGACTCTACCCACTGAGCCATCTCCCTGCCACAGGAGACCAGACAGATCACTTCTTGTGTAACAGGGTTCAGAGGCCAAGCGTGGTGTTGAAAATAAGACCACTGGACACATGGTCAGGAATTCCTGGGTTCAAAACCTGCTTCTAACACTAGCTGGGTGACTCTGGACAATGTGCCCAAGCTCCCTGAGCCTCAGTTTCCTCATCTGTAAAATGAGATGGAGAATAGGGCTAAATGGGTGGTTTTACCAATATGATATAGGGAACTCCCCAGGGAGAACACTCCCTCCACCAATGCAGGTCAGCACCCACTCAGCCTTGGAGGGCTGCCCAGGACCCTGGGAGTAGCAAGGCTTCCCTAAACAGGATGTGCCTGAGGGAGGCCCTGGCCAGGGTCTTCCTGGCTTGTTGGCTGGCTCTCTCCCCAGCATGCCTGCCTGCCTCTACTCGGTAAAATGGAGATGATCATGAATGTGGTCCCTACCCCACACCTGTGGACTTGGCTGGTCACTCAAGTTCTTGCTGGGCAGAAGGGAGGAGTGTCAGGGCAGTGACAGGAGCAGATGGTGAGCTGTGACCATGACAGGGAATTACAGGATCTCCATACCGAAAGGCCCTCATATGTCATCTGGGCCAGCCCAAACCCAAATGAAAATGCCTCCATGAAATTCTCACTACATGGAGCATCTGGTCCTAGAGCTGGTCGGAGCTGGGAGTGAGAAGACCAGAGCGGGATAGGAATTCAGACAGTCTGTGAGGGAGGGAAGCGAGCTGAGCCCAAGGCCTCTGAATTCAAACCTGGTGCTCATTTCCAACAAAGTTGTCTCAGTGGTCAGCTGCCTGGTTTCTAGAAGGTCCATCCATGAGTGGTAGGTGGGTGCCCTTGAAAGTAGGGGAGCCTAGGGGAGACAATAAGTGTAAACATAGACCAGTAATTGATGTCATAAAAGTCCAGCCCTAGGGAGCTCAGGGCACCCCTCCCAGGCCTAGGCAAACTGGCAAGAACAAGGCAGGGCCCTGGAGTTCCAGAGTGATTTAGGTCAAGGCCAGGGACCAGAGTGGAGTCTTTGACATGGGGCATGAGGACATGGGGGTTGGGCTTGTGCTCATTGAACAAGGCAAGAGCCCTCTTACTAGAACCAGAGTGCAAGGTCAAGGCAGGGCCAGGAGCCAGGGACTCTCTGAAGTCTACGGTGGGTTACTTAACCAGGGAGCCCATGGGCCATTATAGATGAGGAGACCAAGCCCCAGGGAGCTCAGAGCATCATGGAGGTAGAGGTGTCATATTCAAGGTCATTGTAGACCCCAGAGGCCATCTGACATGTGCTGCCATCACTGGCCCCTGAGCAGTGGGTGCATTGGAGAGAGGAAAGACTAGGCAGGAAATAGAAGGAAAGATGGTGGAGAAGGAGGCTGCCTAGATGTGGAACAGCATCACATCTGGATACAAGCCTTGATGTGAAGAGTGTCTGCAAGCGGGGAGGTTCCCCCCAAACCTCCATCCCCTATGCTGGTCTCAGCTCCAGCTGCTTCAGGCCCTGTGATGCATCTGGGCTGGAGGGCACTCAAGATCCCGGGCCTTTCCAATACTCAGGAACCTCCAAAAGTTTCTTTCCAAAGACTCAGGTCTTATCAGCACCAGCTCATAGGGATCTGTGCTTTTATCTTTGCTGAATTCCAAAGGTCCTTTTAAAAAGGGACTCTCTGAGGGAAATTGAAAGGATTTCTGTTAGGTGTGGGAAGAAAGGTTCAGAACTTTATTTTTGACTCTAGACATGTCTTTAAAGTCAAGTCAGCTCCCACTTACCAGGCTCCTACTGTGTGTAGAATGTTGCCCTGGGGTCAGGTGGCTCTGTCTGTATGGGGCTTACAGTCTACCAGGGGGGTCTCACACACACACACACACACACACACACACATACAAACATTCCCCCAAACCCCCGACTCTCATCCCTCAGATCTTCATGATGACACCATTCCAACTCAAACGACCTCTTCCTGGACATTGCTCCTCCACCCTGCATCATTTCCCCTATTAGAATGTAAGCTCCCAGAGAGCAGGGACTGCCTTGGCATTTTTATTTATCTTCCCTCCACATAGCCTAGTACTTGGCATATAGCACTTAGTACTCACTTTTTTCATTCATTCACCTAATATTGCAAGATCAGTTTATTACAGAATGCTAAATGAGGTTCCTGGCACATAGCAGGTGCTTCACGAATATTTGTTGATTACTTGATTGATGAAGTCCAGAGAGCCATTCCCAATATCTTTTCGTTCATGGCCTTACCCCTGGACTCAATGGCATTCTCATTGGTCCCCTGGCTCCAAGTCTTCCCTGACCCTGATCCACTCTCCACAAAGCTGCCAAAGTGATCTGGCCATGTCACTCCCCCACTCACTAAATTTCAGTGGCTCCCTACACGTCTAAGATGAAACATAACCTTCTCTGATGTTTAAAGGTTTCCCCAACTTGGCTGCAGCTTATCTTTCTAGCCTTATTATGAATTACTTTTTCCCTTTTCACCTCACTTCCCCGTGCAGAGGGGGAATGGGGCTGATTTGTATCTAGGTTTCTGATGGAGAAATTGGACTACTGTGGACAGGGATATCATGATAAGAGTTTAAGGGGAGGTAGTGTGAGTATGCAGCTTGCATCTAAAGTATGAAGAGTAAATGGGGAGTCAGTAGGATGGGAAGGAGGTGGGAGTGGGGCTCTCTAGTTTGTAGAGCAGAGGTCCTGAGTGGGGTCCCTAGACCCTTTCACTCGTTCCACGAAAGCAAAGCTATTTTCGCAATCACACTCATTTATGTATTAGAATGCTCCTCCCTTTTCAATTATATATCTGTGAGATGGATTTTTTTTCCATATACTTCAGTGAAACAATATATCACAACAGATTGAATGCAGAAGCTAGAAGAATCCAGCTGGCTTCTATTAAGACATTAAAGAGATTTTCAAAAATATGTAAAATACCACTCTTCTTACTAGTTTTTTATTTTGGAAAATACAGCTATTTTTCACAAAATGTTATTTATGTTAACATGTAAAGGGTTTTTTTGGTTGTGTTTAAATGAATTAATAAACATTTCTAAATTATCAGGTTTAATTTTCAATATGGAAATATATATATATATACACATATACACACACACACACACACACACACACACACACACATATACCACATAAACAAAATCTTTTGGGGTCTTCAGTTGATGTTAAGAGTATAAAGAGTCCTGAGACCCAACAGCCAAAGAATCTCTGCTGTAAAGGACTCACCCCAAAAGTCCAAATGGCCCAGAGAGCTGTAGCTTGGAAAGGTCTGGGGGACATTGACCCCCCAGGCCTTCCTCCTTTCCCTTCCTTTCCTTTTGATGTCAACCGCCATAGGAGACAATGGGCCCTATTAAATATTGGGGGATGTGGGTACTGGGGGAAGGGGTAGGGGAGGAGGGCCCTCCCAGGATTAGGAACCTCTCACCTCTGGGAATGACCTGGATGCAGGAGCAGGGGATTGGGGAAAAGTCCACTTCCGGTTGGGGAGTGACCCACCCTACTCATCCCCTCCAACTACTTGTCTTGGTCAAGAATTTAGCTGGCAGG